GGTTACCAGGTGACTACCAGGCATCTAGGCAAGTGGATCATGAAGACAGTAAAATTTAATCTCATGTAGCCTGAAACATGCAAAAGTAGAAAACAATTTATTTTTTTTTTTTTTTAAATAGGCACTTTTACGTTTTGAAAGTGGAGCTGAGGCCTAATACATTGAAATCACATTCTTAATTGAATTCCTTGAATTGTCCTCAGGTTTTGCTATGCTGCATTGTGTAAGCAAAAGTAGAAAGCAGCTTGTCATTTTGAAGTTGCTCCTATCCCACTCTCATGGATTGCTTTGCTGCAGTTGGAAATTTTTTTTTTCTTGAATGAAGAATCTAGATCATTACTGATTAAGATGTTGCCATAATATGTAATATCATTTAAAATTAACAACTTAAAAGGACTGATGGGAATATAAAACTAGAGTACAAGGCGGCCTCAAGGACTTTCAGAACTATATTCAAAACACTTGACAGTTTAAAGCTTTAATATGTTTTTTGAAAGTTACTGAGTTTGAATTTCCCACTGGGATTTTGACGTTCAAATACAGATTTTTCATAATTATTAATCACCACAGAGAACAACAAATTATCTGAACAACATGTTATCTAGTTTCATTGATCACCCCATGTTATGAAAACACCAGTGAAATTGTAGCTTCATGTTTGAGCAAGTATGCATACGAAACACCTGTTCTTACTTCGAAGTAGAACTCTTGTTTTCTAGAAAAATAGAGAGTAAGAGACTGTAACTGAAGTTATCTAAATCACTCTTGAAGGCACTAGACAGTACTGACCCCAGTGTCAGCCCCTGGTGTCCACCACTAGTAACTGGCCTCCGTCTAGGTGTTGTGCTGCAGATCACAAACCGTCCAGCCTGGTAGTGCAATGTTGTTTCCATTTTCAGGAATGAAAGTGCTGTTTTTGCGTTGCAGTAGCAATCTTACTTGAGGACATAAATTCTTTAGGCCAAACTGCGTGGAGCTTTTAACCTGTTGGTAACAATGGTCCAAAACACATCAGAGCTGAGCTTTAACTGTTGTACCTTTGAGAAAGCTGCATAATATGCAGCAAAAGCAGCCTCAATTGGTCATGTCTGGTGTAGTCCTGATGTCTCTGCAGCCTGCTTATCACTGCCTGTCAACATATTTAGAAGACTGAAGAGACTCTCTCTGCAGTAATTTTGAAGCTGAGACAAGATTTATGTGTGTATATATATATATATGGAATATTAATGAATTGCCTTGTTTCCAAAACAAGTTCCATTGCTTCTGTTCAAAGTCTTTGGATTCACACCAGCATTTCTGACTGGATTACGGAAGAGCCTAAACCTGGCCCAGCACTACAGGACTAATTCATGCCTTACATCCTGCCAGGCATCCGAAACGCGGCCAAACCAGGCGGGGCCCGGCGGGCCCGGGCAGCAGGGAGCAGTTCTGCCCTCACGGTGCCCTCCTGCAGCCACGCCACGGAGCAGCGTCCTGGCGGCTCAGCCTC